TCCACAGCAGCTGGCTATCCTTACAGCACTGCTGAGGCTCAGTAGCTGAGTAAGGAAATTGCAGATTTAGCAGTGTCCCTGAATACTTGGCCCTTCCCCCCACACACACACACAACTCCCACAGCGAGGGAGCTCTGGAAAGAAACAACAGAGCAGCCAGCATTGATGCCTCTTATAGCAGGCTTTTTTGGCCTCACAGCATATTATTTTTTCTTCTTAAAGTAAATTAGTTGCGAACATTTCAAAGCCACATTTATAAGTTTGCTGCAGCCCTAGACTCCCTCAAGTATCTTGCGTAAAGGAACACTTAGCCTTGCTCAGTAGAAGTCATATTAGAATATTTTGTCTCAATGGAAATGGTAGTTTGCTGTCATCTCAGCAGCTGCTGGCCAAGTGTAGGTATTGAACATTTCAAATGTGGCAATGGATGTAAGTGTATGCAGTTAGAGAGAGGCTGGCATCAGATGCTATAGGCCAGAGCAAGAACAGGCTTCTAGAGCCTAATGGCATGTGCCTCAGTTTCTCCTGGCCATCCACACCACAGGCAAGTCAGCTTGCTTTGCTTTGTTTTAAGGAAACACAATTCTCCATTACCCTTCAGCTGCTCCTGACACACATTGGGAACCACAGGCAACACCCAGTTACACAGCATTAAGATGTTTCACAAATGCTTACTGACCACCTTTTCTGACTGTAGGATTCATTAATGAATGTTGTCTACTTAGATTTTTGCTTTATCCACTTCTTCATGTCTTCCCTTCCCTTGGATTATACTCTCCACGTGTAAGCCATGTGTATGAGCAAAGATGGAAATTAGTACAAGCTGAACGCCTTAACTTAAACGACTTAGTGACACTAGTTGTTGTGGAGTAGACCAACTAAGATAAGAAATGAGTAATGTCTAACCTAAATTTTAAAGTTAACATTGGGCCAGTGAGATGGCGCAGTGAGTAAAGGTGCTTGTGCCAAGCCTTACAACTTGGTCTCCACCTTCTGGACCCACATGGTTTTAGCAGGAGAGAACAGATGCCCACCAGTCTATCATCTGACCTCCACACATGTGCCATGGCACACACACCCTCACACAGAAATAAAATGTAATTTTTAAAAGGAAAAAAATTAAAGACTTAAGTTTTGTGTTCATGAAAATGTCAAAATTTATTCAGGTTCGTGAGAAGGAGGCTTATATTTTAAATAAAATAGTTCCAAAGTAGAAAAAAAAAAAAAAAGATAAAGCTTATTCTTACCATTAAGTATAATCAAAGCTTAAATAGTACTAGAATATTTCCTGGGATGATACAAAAACTTAAAAGATAGAAAAAGAAAGCTTATCTTGGTTTTTGTAGCCTTTGCTTAGCAAATAGGGTACAAAGACACTATCTGTTCTTCAGATGTAAGTTGAAGAATGTACTTGATTACAAATGACTGTTGCCTTACTTTAAAGAAATAGTGTGTTCTTTGATGGATTTACACACTGATGATGCAGCTCCGTGCTAAGACTCTTGCCCAGTTGTGTTGTGTCTTAGTTAGGGTTTCTATTGCTGTGACAAAACACTACGATGGAAAAGCAAGTTGGGTAGGAAAGGGTTTGTTTATCTGGCTTATACTTCAGCATCACTGTTCATCACTGAAGGAAGTCAGGACAGGAGCTCAAACAGGGTAGGATCCGGGAGGCAGAAACAGAGGCCATGGAGGAGAGCTGCTTACTGGCTTGCTTTCCATGCCTTGCTCAGTCCACTCTTACAGAACCCAGAACCAACAGGCCAGGGATGGCACCACCCACCATGGGCTGGGCCCTCCCCCATTGATCACTAAATGAGAAAATTCCTTACAGCTGGATTTCATGGAGACATTTTGTCACCTGAGTCTCCTTCCTCTGATGACTCCAGCTTGTGTCACCTTGACAGATAAAGCCAGTCAGCACATGTCGTTATCATAGTTTTTCCACATGACATTGTCCTTTAGATACTTGAAATGTATTTAAAGATGTGTTCTCCATGGACACACTGGTAATCTTTTCTTGAGAACCTGTCATCTGCCATGTGCTGCCGTGCTAGTGATGCCCAAGAAGTTGTGGAACTGGATCATTCAGGAAACATCATGGAATCTGCCTGTCACTCATCCCATCAAGTTCTGTTGCTTTTACCTCCCAGGCAGATTCATTCTCACAGCATCTCTGTCCTAGCCCTTGCCCTGTCTCTCATCCCTAATCATATAGCATCCTCCTAACTATGCTTGGGCATCCACTGTTCCTACCCTTACAGGGCAGCTATCATGATTTTGCTTTTAAACACTTTTACACTATTCTGCTTAAAATGATCCATTTCAAATGAAACTGCCAGCATCAGCTGATTAAACCTGAGATACAGTATTGCTTCCTCTCTAGCTTTAGAACTGGTCTTACAAACATGTGGCAATACACTTAATAGTAGTGACTTCAATAAGACAGAAGTCCTCTCTCTTGTGTTAGTAGACAAAATAGGGTCTGGTGTGGTCAGATTTTAGCCCTCAGGGCATGAGGCCACCATCTCTGTGCATCACCAGCATCCTAATAGTTTCCAATTCATGGTGTACAGTTTCTGCATTGACCATGCCATCACGTCTGCATTCCAGACAGGCAGAAAGTAGAAGGAAGGATACATACTCACTGGGGAGAGCCCAGCCAGAGGCCATTCCCTACTGCTGATGTATCCTACATAGAAATCTGGGGTATGGTTGTTGAGGGGAAATGGGCATACATTTAGAGAGCCACTTCTGTTACAAGAGGTAAATAAATCTTTGTATTCTAAATGGGAACTTAAAAAACTTGTCTGAAACGGAAAGAACAAATAACATGTAGGCTTTCTCTTGGGCATTTGGAGGCAGGGAGTCAAACAGATAGAGCCATTGAAGGTAGCTACCTCTGGAAGGCAGGAGTGGGGCAAGGAAAGGACCAGAGTTTGCATGGTCAGCCTTGCAGACTGCCAGTGAACAGCATTTGTACCTTGATAAAGAAAGACTCTTAACATCTCAGCTGAAGCCGGACCATGATGGTTAATTATTAGGACCACAGGCTGCATGTTGGTGTCCCACTTTGCCTGCTATCTTTGAGTCTTTGCCATCTGCAAAGATGAAGGTGTACCTGTTCATACTGCCTGAGAATCCGGCTTAAGACATTTAGCCCCAGGTAGTTCATTTCCCCAAGTTTTCTATCATTACATTTAAAAATGTTAATGAGAAATAAAGTATCTCTGACCAGACTTTGGTTTACAAGCAGATCCCAGGAGATTGGTAAGCAGCATTCAGCACTTAAAGCCCTTTCCATCCATGGGTGCTTTGTGTAGGAAGAAAGCACACACTGGGAACAGATTGCCTCATTGAAATATGACAGCAGGGCCCAGAACAGGGGGAAAGGGGAAGTGGAACCTGGGGCCATGCAATCCAAGAAGCTAAAGAAACGATTCTGCGCTAATCAGAGAGGAACCATCCAAAAGACTAGCTGACTTTGATGAGGAGTGCATCAGGTCCTACGATTGTGTGTCAGAGTGGGCTTTGTTAACTGTTTAAGACAAAAGGAACTGATGATCATGAGAGACAAGGGTCCAAAAAGGAAGGCAGTCACTGCTCTTGTATTCAATTACTTTGTTTTCTCAAATACCAGTCAAGTTATTAACTGGCTTTGGTGCTTACATCACTTAATTAGGGGGGTTGAGGCAGCAGTGGGAATAAGGGAAAGTGAAAGGGCAACAGTTTAAGTGGATTGCCAGCAGGTGCGTGATGTGGGTGGCGATGAAGCCCATTAAGGGCGTAATTCTGGAAGAAGCTCTTGACGTTGATCATTTGTGAAAAGGAGATTTGTTTCCTCTCCACATACGTGGTTCTGTACACTTGTCTACAGACCTTGAGCATTGTCGTTCCATCTGTTCATCAACTTTGAAATTACTAACACCGCTTCACTTTGAAATAGCAGACAAGGTTATTAACTTCGGCAGGAAATGAAAATTTGGCCTTAATATACATGTGAAATTGAATTGTCTGTAACACAAAGCTTTGGAGATTACCCATGCAAAATGAGAAAAGTATCTGAATTTAAAATTGTCCCCAGTACAGTGAAAAGTAATTCTTCAGACTGCATTTTTACTGCACTGAAATCCATGAAGAGATTGGCTCTATTAATTTAGATTTAAACATAGGCTGTGTGTCTTCTAAAAATGGTAAATGAGATGGAAAATGTGCTTTACAGGGAAAAAAAAAATGTTTCTGGAAATGCCTTAGGCAGGCGGACTCCCTTCTCCATGTCTCTGACTGCTCCTTACTGAGCTGGCTTCCGACGGGGAGCTTTGTCTCCTGTGACAAGCACTTGTAATAAGGACACCCAGACACAGCTTAAGTTATTCTTTAGGCTTTGGGGTGCACAGGAGCAAAGTGAATGGGACCACAACAAAGTTACTGGCAGCTCTTCCTTTAGTCTCCAAAGTAGCATGGTGGTGGAGGAGGCAGTTCTTGGCAGGAAAAAAGACTAGAAGACTTGAGTGTATTTTCTCCAATGTCTGATGCTTGCCCACAAGGAAACCGGCTTGTCACATGGAAAAAAAAAAAAAAAATTAACCTTTTGTGTAAAGAGAAGTTGGCTTTTTTCATCCCTTGCTCTAAATTGCTTTATGTCACAACAATCATATTTTTTGTTCATTATTAATTAACTTTTGTTACTAAGCCATGGATCAAAAAAGATTAGTAATGGTAGCTGTGTCTGTCTTTGTGTCTCTGTCATGGACAAGTATTAAAAAGTCTGTATTGCTTACTAGAATTTTAACATTGAGGATTACAAACACAAGTGATTCCCTCTACCTTTTTCTTAGATCTGTCTCACGGTAAGCAGAGCTGAGGCTAGAAATAAAGTCACCTGACTTGCAGATGATTTCACATAGTTTATCAAATTCAACCCAGACGAGTGGGTAACACACCAAAGTGACACAGTGAGCTGCCTGTCCATCTCCACTTGCTTTCTCCTTGTGTTCCAGGCATTGCTGTGCTTTACTTACATCTCTATGATGTGTTTGGGGACCCTGCCTACTTGCAGATGGCACACGGCTATGTAAAGCAAAGCCTAAACTGTTTGAGCAAGCGTTCCATCACCTTCCTGTGTGGCGATGCAGGCCCCCTGGCCGTGGCTGCTGTGCTGTATCACAAGATGAAGAGTGAGAAGCAGGCAGAGGATTGCATCACACGGTAATCATGTTTGTTTGTGAGGATTGCTACCTAGACATCACTAGGGTTCTCCGTGCATTAGCAAAAGAACATTCTACTGAGTTTACTCTTCTCTCAGCAGATAAATCTTCCTCCTGCATCTGATCAGTTCATAATTCCTGTTATAGTTAAGGAATAGCCTTGTAATCCTTATCTTATACAAGATAGAAGATATTGGTGTGGTCCAGATCTAGTATCAGTTCCCTGGGACCAAAGCTCTGATCATGGAATGACTAATTAACTGTGCTCCCCAAAATTAGCATTGGAAAAGAAGGCTGTCTCTTCTTGTAAGCCAGGAACCAAAAAGTAATTTCAGACTGCCATTCTAGATGGATTGGGTACACATCTGTAATCCCAGCGGTCAGAAATCTAAGGAATATCCTGAATTCAAGGCCAGCTTCAGCTACATACTTAGATCATCTCCTAAATCCAATAATAATGATGATGATGACAACAATGGTGATGACTGCCTTTCTTGGGGAGGGGGGCAATGGCATACAAATCTAGGTTATCATTATGAATATAACTCATGGTCTCACTATGCACTAGTGACTTTTAAAGAATTGTTAAACTTTTCTACAAATGGACAACCTTTATTGTCTTTGCAAAGTTGTCGAGCACTCTGTTGAACTAAAGTTTGACCAGCAGGCAGCTCCGTGTGCAAGTCTTGGGCTCTCACTGAGCAAATGAAAGTCAGTAGGAGGAGTTGCACTTCTAGCAGTCTGGTCATCCCAGAGTCAGCCTCGGTTTTTATATACCCACTATTCTTTCTAATATTGCTGCTAGAAGTGCATAATTGTTGCCCTACTTTGAGGAATCTCTTCCTGAATATATATTGTCCTTCCGTATCACTGGGTTTACATCCATAGATGCAGCCAACCATAGCTCAAAAGTGTGGGGCACAAAGTTTATGTTGTTATTCCCTAAACAGTATGACTCTTCTTCGAGCACGTTAGGTAAAACAGATGCTTCAAGGTATAAGTGAAGATGCTCACGGGTTGTATGATAACAGGTCATATGAAAGATATGAGTGTCAGTATCTTTTAGTATCTTTTAGGGGTTCCAGAACCAATTGCCTGAATGCCTAGCAATAACTGGTCTGTGTGTATAGTTCAGCAACAGGCTTTTTGAACTGTTCTGGCTAGAAACAAGGTGTTGAAACAGATTGGAGTTTGTGCTCAGTACTGCTTACACAAAGTGAAATGCACACCTCTCCCTGTCTGCAGTCTTCAGGAGCTCATGAAGAGGGGAAGCCCTCCAAGTCTAGGGTACAGTGCTTTATCTGCCAGGAATATGCAAACAGCCTTACTCAGATGAGTAAGCTAGACTTGTTTACTGTTTGATACCTTATTATAAACACTTTTGTGATTTACATATTTTTTTTAAAAAATTATAACGTTTTAAGAACATTTTATTTATGGCCAGCACGCTTGTCATGCACCTTTAAAATTTAGAATGTGAGGTCAGACGTAGCAGCTCCCATCCATAATCCTAGCACTTGGAAGTTTGAGGAAGGAGGGTTTCTACTTACCAAATGGTAAATTCCAGACTAGCCTGATCTACAGTATAAGATTGTCTTAAAATAAAAGAAAAGGTGTGTGTGTGAGTGTGTGTGTGTGTTTGTTTATTCCTGTGTTCACATATGTATAAAGATATTACTGAAAGCGAAGTCTGTTATTTGGCCACAGCTCTGACTGCCTGACTTCTTTATCTCATGATCACTGTGATCTGGAATTAGTTTGACTCACTTTCTACATCTCCCTCTTAGTGGCAAAAGTTCCTTTGGTTCAGTTTCTGTAAGTTCAGAATGATTTTATATTGTCAGGTATTGAATCAGCAAGCTTGCTTATTTTGCTTTTTAATGAGCTGTCTTCCTGGTGTCTCAGCCTCCAGGGGTATCACACACTCATTTCCTTCATCAGTGTCTTAGTTGTGTTCCACTGGCTGCACCATCCCATTTACCTTTCCAGCATTTTCTTGGTGAGCTCTCAAAACCAGAATTTTGAGTTTGAAAGAGCAAACATGCCTTTAATATTAAAAAAGAAACTGGACTCCAAATAAGGCATGTTCATTAGGATTTAGTTCTTAAACCTGGCTTCCAGAAGAATGGACCTTGTGAGATCTTTTCAGGATGGAGAGGACTTGCACTTCTCAAATGGAGGATGGCAGTCTCTAACTTCCTACAAGGACCTGAGGGCTTGGAGAGGGTGAATGGGAGTCAGTAACTACAGTCATGCTGTGTTGCAATGGCCTGGGTGAATGACGGAGCCTCTCACTGGCTCTCTGCTATCTGGTAAGTACCCTATAGGTCCTGTCTGCACAGAGTTCTTGTTGCCAGAGTACAAGTAGAGAGCACCGCCCGGCCCAGTTAGCTCACCAGCCAGAGTATGCCCAGGTCAGCACTAACAATGGTTAGGAGATGATCTTGGACAGAGAATGTGATGTGTGTTGTAGTGTGATGAATCAGAAAAGGATAGAATGCTCCAGTGACACCCTGGGGAAGTGCCACTATGTGCCCAGCAAAGCCATCTTGTCTTTGAGTGTCTTCTTCCTTTGGTGACATTCACTGACTTGCTGGTCCCTTTGAAAAACTGGTCACTGTTAATATGAGCTCATCCAAACAAATAACTGGAGCCACAGAAATACACTGGTGGGCTTGAGAGTTTCCACAAAGACATAAATAAATGTTATAATTTTCAGATGCCTTCATTATTTTATCTTAAAATGTTGTGTGTGAAGTGTACAGCTTCATAACCTACCTTTAGTGATCAGGACAACTAATAAATCCAGAAAAAAAATACACCGTGTCCCTTTTTAGCCTAAACACTGTCGTTAGGCAATGCTGCCTCTGCACAGAGAGGATGTTGTCGGTGATCGTTTAAACTGTATTCCCTATCTGTTGTGACCAGCCCTAGTGAAAAATGAATTTTGTTTTAAAATGTTAATTGTATGTCGCCACCTAGTGATAGTTTAGGGGAGAACATTTTTGGAGTTCTGTACAACTTCTGTTTTAGTAGGATCATCATTGCAGTGAATGCAGTAGTCGTTCATCATACTTCTAGGGGAGAAATGACACTGAAGTTTTCCTTTCTTAATAGTTTCTTCAGTCCCTTTGCAAAAGTAAATCAAGTTCCTTTTTATTTCCAAAGTCTATAGGATTGATGCATTTGTATTAAAGCTTGATCAAGTATTCTGTCTGACCTTGAGGCACATGTTCTGGCCACTGTAGCAGCTGAGTTTGTTTTCTTGGTCCCAGTGTTACTCAGGTACAGGTTCTGTCAGGAGGGCAATAAATACGTTTTTTCTTAGCAAATGCTTTTAAGTTATTTTGAGATGAGGGTTGGCCAAGCTCCTCTGCCTGAGTGAGGCCATGTGATTGCCTTCCAGATTTCCCTCTCAGAAGGAGCTCTGTGAGCTTTGGGGAAGCTTCCTTGTGAAGTCTTGTGTTTCTGTAAACTTGTTTATAAGGCAGGCTTTCGTGTAGCCTGCGATGACCGTGGATTGACCCTGCCTACCTACCATGAACTGACCTTGTGCTACAGTGTGTGCCTGTGTGCTCAGCTTCTGTGAAGACGCTTATCCCCTGGACAGCCTTGAATTGCCTGAGTACTAGGCGTGCATCAGCATAGAACAAGGCACAAGAATCTGCACAGCATCCTTTGTAGAATCATTTTGGATGGCGATTTACAGTAAATGTGCCTGTCCTATGCATTACTCAAAGGCCTGCGTAGGTGTACCCTGAAAAACTCCCTGAGTCAAAATTGTTTGATTACAGGACACCTAAAACACCTTAGACAGATCCCTCTAGAAATAGCTTACTCCCTGCCCAAGAAACTGAAACATACACACACACACACACACACACACACACACACACACACACACACACACACACGCATGCTTCCACTTGTATTTTCTTTTGAGTACAGTAAAATTGGAGGCTGGGGATGTAACTCAGGATGGGCACTTGACCATCATGTCCAGGACCCTGGTTTTATCCCTAGCTTTGCAACAACAGTAAGTTGATGGGATTAGAGGAATGAGAAGTCAAAAATAACATAATCCTATTCTACCACTCAAACAGCCCTATTAGCATTGAGCAAAGCTTGACTACTATTATAGTATATTACAAGGAAATAGAAACTTCTGGCCATGATGATCCTGCCAGTTTATTTCCCATAATTGTGAATATGGGAATAGAGAAAAGGAATAGAGAAAATATGAGAAAAGGAATAGAGAAAATAATTAATGCACCTCAAATTTTCTTAATGCACCTCAAATTTTGAAAATTTGAGGTGCATTAATTAGTTGCAACATGCTATTATTTCATAGCTTCCCCCCTTTTTTGTACCAAGGTACAAGTACTCATTAAATAAATAAATAAATAAATAAATAAATAAATAAATAAATAAATTGTACCAGAAATGGAGAGATGGGTCAGTGGTTAAGAATAGAGCGAGCACTAATTGCTCTCACACAGGACCAGGGTTCAGGCCCAGCAGTCACATGGTATATTATCTCCATGACTCAAGTTCCAGAGGATCCCATACTTCTCTGACTACAGTAGGTACCAAGCACATGTGTGATGCACATGCATGATTCAAGTGAAGCACTTATAAAATAAATAAATCTAATTAAAATTTTTGTTTAATTTTTAAAAACAAGACTCCTTTATACCTTTCCTGAGCCTTTGTTCCATATCTGTCAGCTGTTTTAGTCATAAAGTCATCTCATTCAGGTGACAAGAACAAGTCCCTTCACTGAAGGCACTAAGTGTGCCTCTCCCTGCCAGCTCTCTATGAAACAGTGAAGAAGGGATTGTGAAAGGTACATTTTCTTTCTCACAAATGCTCTCCCTGCCTGGCTTTGCCCCTTACTGTATGTCCTGGTGTGCTCCTGGCCTGGTAGGAGCAGTTAGCAGGCTCTGTGTTGCTGGGTTTCTTGTGGTCTTGATCTGGGTTAATATTGCTGGCCTCCAGAGGCTATGGCTGTATACCGCCTCAGCTGCACCCTGACACCTGACTGAAAATAAAAGCCTGGACAGGGCCACCATTCTACCAAGTGGGCAAATATTTATCAGGAAGAAGAGCACAACCTACTCTTGTAGCTCAGATAAAGCCAGTGTCCTCTAGACCAAGTGTTAACTGACAAGGGACAGCTATACACAGCCCACTCCTCAACCTGTCCGCTCACTCCACCAAGAAAGCCATTTCCTCCCACGTTTCACTGCGTTGTTAACCATTTCTTGGTACAGATCTTGATAGAATGTGTTGAGTCCCGGTGGCTGTTGACTCCTAGTTAGAATATCTCAAATATAACCATTCACCCCCCATGACTTGTAACACCACAGACTCATTCAAACACTTGAGTGTGAAGTCAAGTTAGGAGAACACACTAAGCCAACCATCCAGAGATGAGTTTCCACCCCAGCAACAAAATAAGAGAACTTTAAAGTCAGGACTCATTTTTAAAAATAAGACCTTGAAGAGCAATGGTGAAATGCTATGCTTAGTATATTATAAAATATCAGATAACATTTGATTTTCCAGAATATACCTGGGCTTTTCATACTAATATAATTTTGTCAAGTTTTGACAAAGATTTAGTGTTTTAAAAACTTAAGTAGGAGCTCACTGAAATTCATAGACTAATTAGAAAAAAATTGAGTTATAGTTTCAAAACTCCACATGACTAAAAATTCTAAAACAACTGGGCAGTGGGTGGTGCACACCTTTAGTCCTAGCACTAGGGAGGCAGAAGCAGGCAGATCTCTGTGAGGCCAGCCTGGTCTACAGAGCAAGGTCCAGGGAAGCCAGGGCTACACAGAAAAACCCTGTCCTGAAATAAAGAAACTAACTAATTAATTAAAATAAAAATTTAAACTTTTTTTTTTTAAAAAAAAAATTCTAAACAGCAAGGACAGCCCCCCTCCCTCCAAACACACACACACACACACACACACACACACACACACCTCATACAAAGGTTCATTATGAGTTGAGGCTACCCAGTCTGTAGAGTCTTCCAGACTTACTTCCCCTGGAGTCTTTCTTCCCTTACTTCCTGGTTGCCTGGGGTATGGTTGTTTCCCCACTGAGCCTGTTTCTGCACTAATACACAAAAGTTAGGGGTAACGTAGGGTTCACCCCTCTCTTGGAAGCACAGTGCATCTAGTCTCTGAGGAAGGTTCTCTCCCTTTGAGTTTTGGCTCCTATGGGATTCTGTTGCTGTTGCTTCAGCTTGAGGTTTAAGGTGCCTGTTTTCTGGATCATAAGACAACCAGGGAGAGAAATGAGGCCTTTCCCATTCTAGTCCTTTACTAAAGACCACCCTTTCCTGTTCAGCCTGAAACAAAACTCCTCTGGGCTTACTGGGCCCACTGCTACCCGCTTCTGTGTGTTTGGCTTTACTGAGTTCAGGCCAAGGGAATACAGGAAAGAGAAATACACCCCAATCTATTAGTCCTATCTGCTGCTATTTCTTTTTCAAAGTCTTCAAATAGCTGCCTTATGTATTCTGTCCGGGTTTTTGAAGCTGTAGTCAGTGGAAGAGGGAAGGGTAGAGTCTACTTGCTGCTAATTAACTGGAAACAGAACCCATAAAAATTTGGAGAAGCTGCACCGAGTCCATGAATAAGAACCTAATGAAGTATATCGTACAGCTTTTAATGAATGAGACTGGTCTGTGTGTGCTTGTTAGGGAAGGACTGAAGGGTGCTACAGAACATTGCTGGGTTAAACTCATATTTATACATACATGTATTTGTGCTTATATACATACAAATCTAGAGATATGTACATTCACATACACACACAACTTGATAGTCAAGTTGTTTCTAAAAATAAGAGCTAGAGGGCTTTGTGCCAATTGTATGTTACCTTGTGGCAGATCAGGCTACAATGGAGATGAGTGGATGTAGCCAGCATTTCATTAAAGCCAATGATACTCTAAGTATCCATTAGTCCAGGCTAAATTCTGTGATGGCAGCCGTCCCTAGCGCCTCCAATCCTCACTGCTTAAGTACAAGTCTTAGAGAAGCTCTGGGAAACTCGGGTAGCCTCAGCCTCACTGTGCATTCTTGTGACATACTGGTTCCACTGTGAACTTAAAACGAGGCTAATCTTTAAACTGTGATTTTTAAGGTGTGTCTGTTTATGTGTCCGTGTATACATTTTTAGTGGACCATTTTATATGCTAATGTCTGATCCCCATCCACTGATCATAGACACACATTTCTTTTCCTAGGCTCATTCACCTAAATAAGATTGATCCCCATGCACCAAATGAAATGCTCTATGGCCGCATAGGCTACATCTTTGCTCTGCTTTTTGTCAATAAGAACTTTGGAGAAGAGAAGATTCCTCAAAGCCATATTCAACAGGTAATATCGTTTTGTGGTTTTTAGGAGTGTTTTTAAGGCATCTTCTTACATACTCCATCTCTCTGGTTAGTACATCCTATGCAGGAAGACCTTGTGTCTTGACCTCTGTAGGTCAGTCTGTGGGAAGCCCTATCACCAGCAGTAGGAATCAGAAGGCCATCCTGCCTCCCTTTAATAATTCAGAAGCCCTTTCTGGTGGAGATGGAGGTCAGATTCAAATATCTCCCTCAGTGCCTAGAGAAGTTTGTGCTTTTTTTTGTTGTTGTTGTTGTTGTTTTTGTTTGTTTGTTTTTGTTTTTTGTTTTGAAAGATGTGTAGGTTCTTAAAAGTGCTAATAGAAAGTGTTGAGGGTCCTTCTGCACCATCTTCTATGCAGAACACAGTCAAACTTCTCAGAAGGGAGCTCTGTCCATCCCAGTGGAAGATGCTATCTTATTCCCTACCGGTAATTCAGTACTTTTAACAAAAAGGTTTTTGCCTCCACCAAGATTTTTTTTTTTTTTTTTTTGTCTAGTTATCTTGTTATTTTACTCGTCTCTCTCCCTGCAGATTTGTGAAACAATTTTAAACTCTGGGGAAAACCTAGCTAGAAAGAGAAACTTCACGGCCAAGTCCCCACTGATGTATGAGTGGTACCAGGAATATTATGTGGGAGCTGCTCATGGCCTGGCAGGAATCTATTACTACCTAATGCAGGTAAGGGATGCTTAAGGTGAGACCATCCGATGGCCCACACATGCATTGTCTTGGCTGGGGAACAGATCCTAATACTGTGTCACACTCCTTACAGTCACAGGGTGCACCTTCATGTGTGCAAGCATGCAGACCCCATCCTGGGGCTGGTGCTAAGTTTCCGGGTGGACATGCACTCACTGAGTGCCACTGGGGCAGTGTCTTGGCCTCTAATTCTGTGTTCTTTGTTCTTCTGTCTCAGAAAATGCCTTGAATTACAAGTATCATTCTCAACAATTATAAAATGAAACAAATTCCAGGAGTAAAGACAAATCTATAGAAGCAAATGAGAACACTCTGCCTAAGGCTTACTGAGGGAGTAGATTTTGTCTTGACTTGCCTGAAAAATAACTGAATGGGCTGTGCCCCATAGTTCTTTGGTTCTGACAATATTGGGAGGCATCAACCAAGTTAGGAAGACTGAAGACAAAAAGAACTTGGGAGGTCAGATAGATAACTCAGAGGGTGACATTTTAAGGGAACAACTAACACTTGCAAATGAGAATTTATGGCAAAAGAACATGGATTCTTCATGGCAGCAGAGGCTCATACCTCACCTTGAGGTATGTACAGTGTCACACAGAGGAACGTACTATACTCCTGCATACAGCATACATACATGAATGTACACATTACCATATGGCTGGAAGAATACAAAACCAGTGTCGTGCCTGCCCTCAACCCATGATTGCTTTTGAATAGAGCCACAGTTTGGGAGCAGTGATCAGAGGTCAACCTATATTTATTTATTTATTGCTTATTTATTCTGTTTTCCATTAGATGTGTAATTAGCTTTTGCGATTTTACCCTTTCTGGTGTCTCTCAGTGACTCTTCTAGACCTGCATATAGATTCTTACAAAGCTTTCATTAAAGGCAGATTATGTCTTCTGGAATTCAAGCTGAGTTAAAATTGTACATGTTAGTGAATGGGGTTGCCTTGTTGACTTGTCAATAAATCTGATAGTCAAGAGATATCTGCCCTGTCTCTTCTTGTTAGCTCTAATAAGAAATCTGAAAACCACAGTATTGATTTTTCAATTTCCAGGTTGTTATCTATTTGAAAAGATTAAGTTTTTAGTAATGAAAATCCATTCGTGAATGTACCTAGATAACAACATAAAATTGGACAGTATTACTTCTAGGCCATATTGGATAATTCCTGGAGAGTTACTTACTCTACTTTTAATACTTTCCTTGTGTAAAGTTCTATTTTTACATGTCTTGAAAAACACAGAATCCTGAGAACACACTACATCACATCATTCCCAGGACCATATCCTGACTGTGCATCTCACAGCTGTGTACCCCTCACCCCACATACCTTATCCCCTGCCTGGAATTCAGTGCCTTTGAAATGTGTCTTTTAAAGGCACTGAATTAAGAATAAGATCAAAAAGAGAAATGACAAAATGATATCCCAAATGACGCACGTGTGCCCTGCATCCCTGTGTCATATAAACCTGCATATCCTCATAGAAGAATAATCCATATACAAGTCATTTCTAATTTGGTGTTGGGCCACACTGCAGTTCTGCATCATCTCAGGTCTCCCAGCCCCATGCCCTGCCCTGTTACAGACAGCATCCACCACCTCTGTCAGAAAGTGAGAGCCGAGTTTGGTGGTCAGTGCATCTCTGCACTTGACAGATGTCTGTTTAACTCTTGTTTGCAAGCATTGACTTACAAAAAGTACTTGTGAATGTGTCCATAGCAGCAAACATTGGAAATAGTATGTACAGAAGGCCTTAAGAGTTAAGTAACAGCCCAACTATAGTTTGTTCCATTACTTTAAAATTATAAAACAGAAAATAAAAACAATAATGTCCAACAAATGAAAAAAAAATTGAAGAGATGGCTTTTGAATAACTTCAAACTTCCTATTACTCATTTTTTTTTCCTGTTTAAAACTCAGAGTTCTAGGAATGTCTTTTGTCTTTTTCTTCAGCAGAATTAATAATTCTGTTTCTCGTTTTTAGCCCAGCCTTCGGGTAAGCCAAGCAAAGTTACATAGTTTGGTGAAGCCCAGTGTAGACTTTGTCTGCCAGCTGAAGTTCCCTTCTGGCAATTTCCCTCCATGTTTGGATGATACCAGAGACCTGCTTGTCCACTGGTGCCATGGGGCCCCTGGCGTCATTTACATGCTCATCCAGGCCTACAAGGTACCTCATATTTTCTTATGTAACAAAAAGTACAAAAATAGCAAGTGTGTTTGTAAGTTAACAGTATTCTCATAATTGTTAAGGGATTGTGAGTCAACTGCTAAGTCTAAGGTCATTGTGCTGGATGGGTTAGCATCCATTCTCACAGTGTCCATCCCACCGTAGTGGGCAGCATCTCATAGCTCTTTACTGACAGAGTAACCAGGATGATAATGGAAGTGGCAGAGCCACAATAAACAGCCCGGAAGCAGAATCCTCATACCCTGCTGCAGGAATGTGAAATGGCACAGCTGCTGAGCAGGCATCGGATTGCTGGCCCTTAAGTCAAGCACTTATCATAGAACTGAGCAGTTCCACTTCTAGGCTTATGAAAAAAAGCAAAATAATCCAAAGAGATACATGCACACGACTATTCATAACAACTCTACTCTAAAGCCACAATGTGAAAAATATGGAAGCAGCCACTATCCATCAACAATGAATGCATAGATAGAATACAGAGTGCGCATGTGGTGGGACAGCATCTAGCCAGAAAAGGGAGTGAAATATATGTCATAATACTCATAATTTGCTAGACAAAATAAACACAGAAATGTAATACAGAAGAGGAAATTAGACTTATATGGAGTGATGACTAGTAGAATAGAGGTATCTGGAGTAGGCAAATTTATAGAAACCTGAAGTGGAAGGGGGTCAGGAGGTAGAGAGCATGGGAGCTCTATTGACTGATGTGTAGTGATAAAAAATAGAAGTGATTTTGTGTGCACAATTTCATGACTAATTAATGTCACTGAATTATGTGCATAAAAGTATAATCCTGGTGCTGGGGAGCTGGAAACAGAAAGTTCCCTTGGGGTCACTGACCAGCTAGTATTGCCCAATCCTTGAGCTCCAGGGTGAGTAAGAGACAGTATCTCAACAACTAAGGTGGAGAGCAATTAGAGAAAGCTTGGACGTTTAGCCTCCATAGGCGACCACACACATCTGTACTCATATAACACACACACACACACACACACACACACACACACACACAGAGCACGTAAGTTCTTCCCATGTATATAAAGATAAAGACACTGTGGTGAATGGTGTCATAGTTACTCAGTGGCTGCCATGTGTTCTTTGGAGAGGGACTGGTGGTGAGAACAAGTGGCCAGGTCAAGACAGCTGCTGCATCAGTCACACGCATTTATAAAGCTTAGATCAAACATACACAATCAGGCCCAGTGATTTTTAAAAAAACAAACTAAGTGTATTAGTTTGCTTTTCTGTCATTGTGATAACACACTAAAAGCAGCTTGGAGTAGAGAAGGGTTTGTGTGACTTATAGGTTAGTCCATCGTGACCAGAAGCCAAGGTAATAACCTGGAGGCAGGAACTGAAGCAGAGTCCATGCAAGAGACTGTTTACTAGTTCCCTTCCCTGTCTTGCTCACCCCACTTATACAGCCCAGGACTGCCCGGCAGGATGGTACCTCCCACAGTAGGTTGGGCCCTCCCACACCAATCAGCAGTCAAGGAAACACCCTACAGCTTTGCCCACAAGCCAGTCTGAATGGGACAACTCCTTAGTTGAGAATCTCTCTTCTCAGGTGTGCCTAGGCTTGTGTCAAGTTGACAAAATACTAGCTATGACACAAGTCAATGTTAGGGATTTATCATTGGCAGTACCACGCATTCTGTCACTGCATACTGTATTTCTTCTTACCATGCCTCCTCCCCTACCTTGCCTTTCCTTCAGAAAGAGCTGCCTGAAGAATTTTCCTTTATGCTCCAGATAGTGGAACTCATGTATGTCCTTTGACTCTGCAGGTGTTCAAAGAGGAACAGTACCTTTGTGATGCCTACAAGTGTGCTGATGTGGTCTGGCAGTATGGACTGCTGAAGAAGGGCTATGGTTTGTGCCACGGTGCTGCAGGGAATGCCTATGCCTTCCTGGCACTCTACAATCTCACACAAGATGTGAAGTACCTGTACAGGGCCTGTAAGGTATGTATGAGCCAGGCTGGGCGTGGGGAAACAGCTTTTTGGGAGATTGAAAGGGCTCAGGTCTATCTGAGTCAGTTCATTTATATTATGTCATGGAGCTTAGAGTTAACAAACATGTTCTTTAAGAAAAGCCTTCTGGAATGATTCAGTTATGTTAATGTTCCTTGAAAAAGGGTAGATTCTGCTTGAACATTTGTGAGAGTAAAATCTTAAAGATGGAGGGTCATTTGGTTCTTTGATACCATTAGCAAGCATGTGGCTAGCACTGCTCACCAAACTCCTCCCAAGCCATGTACCTGCCTTTAAGCCAGTTCCTCAAAATTAATTCCTCATCTCTGACTTGGTAGTTTTAGAATTTGTCAAAGTAACACAGAATTTCCACAAGTTTCTAGGGTCTCTGAAGAAATTAGTCATTGAAGTTGGTCTCCTTTTCAGTTTGCTGAGTGGTGCTTAGATTATGGAGAGCATGGATGCAGGACACCGGACACCCCCTTCTCCCTCTTTGAAGGTATTTTTCACATGTGACTTAATATCTTCAACTATTACTCTGCTTGGTGATAATGTTTTAATTTCCAGTTTTTATAGTCCATTGTTAAGCACATACTTCCTAATTTCCTGATATATCAGATCAGTTAGCAAGGCTGAGGTGTAGCTCACTTGTTAGAGAGCTTGCTTAATGTCCATGAAACCTAGTTCCATCCTCCACACTGCATAGACAGAGCATGTTGGCACACACCTATATGCTCAGCTATAATCCCAGCACTCAGGATGGAAACAGTAGAAACAGGAGGATCAGCAATTCAAGATCATCACTAGCCATTTAGCCACTTTGAAATTCTGTGTCAATCGATCAATCAATATCAGGCATGCCACCACTTACTTTAATATTCATAGCAGTAATGGTGACCACCATTTATGGAGCCAGGAAGTATATGGTGAACCATGGATACAGTGCCTCAGAGGTCAGCGGCCATAGTGGTGAAGGAATTCACACATGGCCATGTTTGCACACTTGAACCTATTTGCCTCCATTCTGTCTCCTCTCTTCCCCTGGTTATAAAGAAGCCAAGAACCCCTCTAGGGGCCTCTGATATGCAATACATTGTATGAATTACAGGAAGCTTCCCGTGTCTTAGCTTAATGTTGAAATGAAGTCATTTGGTGTAGTAACTTGTGTCTTTTTCTCTTCCCTTAGGGATGGCTGGAACAATCTATTTCTTGGCTGACCTGTTAGTCCCCACAAAGGCCAAGTTCCCTGCATTTGAGCTCTGAAAGGGCAACCTGGTCCCTGAAGCATGACCCTCTGTGTTCTGGTCTGGGCTAAGTGTTTCTGTTGCTTTTGAAGGAGCAGAATGAAACTGTGTACTTGAAAGTTGGCTCTTTATTTCCATGATTTGTCTTTAGCAATTCAGCGCCTTTTCTTACTTTTATTTAAAAGTCTAAATGAAAGCCATCTTAATTTTCTTCCATGAGGATGATTGACAGGTATGGTATTTTGTAGCCATTTACATGTACTTACAGACTTGGAGGAGATCTTACTCTTCTTTAATTTTATGAATGTAGTCATGTGTTAGTGCTCTTTAAAATGTTTTCTAAAAGCTCAGTAAGCCATGCCTGGTATCATGTTATCCCATCTATTGAGAAGACTGAGGCAGGAGGAGCACAAGTTCAAGGCCAACCTGAGCAACTTAGTGAGACTCTGTCTCAAAATAAAGAGAGAGGTCTGCGGTATAGCTGAGAAGTAGACCTCTTTTCTAGCACACACACACACACACACACACACACTCACACTCAGCTCAGGTAGACAGAGATTTTATGTAAATGGCCATTGTTAATATTGCCTTCTATGTCTTCTGTTAAATATTTTCCCTCCAACAAAGAGTAGTTTTATGACTTCATTTTTTCCAGGTGCTTGGTTATTAGAGGGGGCAAAAATATAGCCCATGCCTCTGGAGGAAAAGCTGTAAGAATTACAAACTAGACTTGGGACCTAAATGCCATATTTTAAACTTCTAACTCCTGTCTATACGAGACGTACCATTTTCAGTGAGCCACAAGGGCACTATATTCCAGCCATGTTATCAAAACTTAAAAACGGTTGTAATGCACACTCTGACCTGAAAGTTAACTCACCAACAACAGGTCCTTGTTTCCTGATATATTTTGGAAATGTTTAATTTAAAAGTATTTGTCCTTCAGTGTTCATGTGAGATCTGGAAGTAGATTTTCTGTGTGAATTTGCCTGGACAGGATTCCAGCCTAACCTTCAAAGACATTCAGAAGTTTGGCTTAGGTTTCCCTTGCTTTTTTGCTGAGTTCCACATGTTACTCCTTTCTGTTCATTGATTTGAACATTGATTTTTTTTTTTTCACTTAATAGTACAGAAATTGCTTATGCTTACAAAGAAGGTGGGAAGGGAGATGCTGTAACCAATAGCTTCTAAGAGAACAAAGCTTTTGCCGGGCAGTGGTGGCTCATGCCGTTAGTCCCAGCGCTCGGAAGGCAGAGGCAGGCCGATCTACTGAACAAGTTCCAGGACAGGCTCCAAAGCTATACAGAGAAACCCTGTCCTGAAAAAACAAACAAACAAATAAAAAGAGAACAGAGCTTTTGACAAAAATTCTTGTTCTTGGAGGGTATCTGATGTTACAGCTTCCATGGTTGTAACAGATGAGTGCTTGCATATCCCAAGCCATGGAGTCCGGTTGGTCTGTGCATGAAGACTGCCTGGTGCTTCAAAGTCTGGACACATGCTTTTTGACTCCTCAGCTCCTCCCGCCTCCTCATATCACAGGCCTCTCAGGCCCTTTGTAACTGACTTAGGAACATTTTCCACCTTTAATACTACAGGATCTGAGAATATTTAATGTGCTATTTTGTGGCTCTCTTGGTCGTGCTACTTGTATTAGAAATGAAGTCTCCATGGAGTGTGTGCTGATTGCTATGAGGAATAATCCCCTCTTATTTTGTGACTTGCACCAAAATAGCTAATATTATGAGAAATTTTCTGGTCCTTTAAGGCTACCTACAGTAGGATCCAAAGAGCAGCTCAGTGCTCAACTCTCAGCTCCTAGGGTTGAATTGCTCCTTCTGTGGCCCCTGTATTCCAGGGACGTACGTGTGACCTCACCCTCTGAAATGCTGCTGCTGGCAGCTGTGTCAGACTACCTACCTGGTGAAGGCTGTGCATCAATGGTGTCACTATTTATAAGAACTCGACACAGTAGAGCACATCGGTTTGGCTGGGCTTCCAGCTTTAGAAAAGTAAGCCCACTTGCTTTAGTTAAATGGCTTGTATTCTGCCTGTACCTTCAGCTACTATAGATACTTGGTGAAAGAAAAAGAACCAGTGTTCTGGTTAGTCCTGAGACTTGATCACAGTGCTTCCCCAGGTGTCTTGACTAATATAGCCCCAGAAAGAACTCAGAGCAGGAAGAGTGTTTTGAGTGACACTCTTGTTACTGTCTGAGCTGTCTTCTACATATTGGCATCCATTAACAGATCCACTGACATAAACAATTCAGTTTTCCATCTTCACTGTAGCTTTTTAAAACTTACTACACTGACAAAGTGTCTGTGCCACTTGTGTCCTTATGCTACAAAGCCACGAGAATTTTCTGGGGGCTTTTAAATTCAGGTACAATACAAAGCCCACAGCAACACCTCCCCTCTGAGGAAGGGAATGTTTTCACTCCAGCATTGTGCAGAAGCAGTGTTGGGTGCTTTCCTTCCTCAGATACTTTTCTTATGGGTATAAAAACCTTCCAGAAATCGCTTCCGGAAAACTCGGTGCCATTGCTAATCTGCAGCCAGAGACTGGAAGGTCCAATGTTCAGAGCCTGTTCAGCAATGCATTTATGCTGTTGTGCATTCCTGCCCTTAACTTTTCATCATGTAAAATGTCAGCATTACCATGACGGCTCCCGTAGTTCCCACAGGCCTTCATCCTATTCTGTCTGTCAGTCCGTCTGTCAGTCTTTCGTCCTTACAGTTATCAGGTTCTCTTTTCATCACTCATGTCACATCCATGTGACACCAGAACCCACTTGCAGCTAGAGTTAGCTCAAGGGGGCATAAGGGTATTTTTTCCTCCTTATTCCCGTTTCCCTGAGTAACTGAACTGCAGCACTCTGCTCCTATGTCCTCAGGTCAGTTTGTATCTGGTTTTACAGTCCCCTTACCTTCTGCTACCTAACTCTGAGTTTATTTATGTACTTTTAGGCTCCTAGAAGTTGGTACAGTCCCTACTTACTCATGCTGCATCCCGGATCCTTTTCTGCTTCCCTGAAACATGTCAGAGCATGTTTCTGAGTTCTCTGTACCATCTGGCTGTAGGAGAACTGTTTATATCCTGTATACTGGAATCAGTCTTGGGGACAGTCTTTCGGGATCACCCCAAGATTACATTGACACTGGGAGGGGCTGGGATCATATCTGTATTGACTGACTGGCCTTCAATAAAATGTTACTAGGCCTGAGTATCGCCTACTGTTGTTTACTTCTGTTTGATCTTGAAAATTATTTCTCCATAATGGTAAATAGTGACTTTTCTTTTTCTGTATAAACTCTCCCTGGGATTTGTCCTTAACTTCCTTGTTAGTTCCACTGTTTCCTGATAACAGACTTACAGAAGGGATATGTTATCCTGTCTGATCATGGTATAATTAGGAAGCATCTCCAAGGTTTGGGACCATGCAGTATATTAGCTACCTCATGCTTATCCAAGCCTTGCTGCAGTCAGAGCCTTGTTGTGGGATTTCTCCCTGCTCACAGATCTAAAGGGGCTTTGAATGAAGTCATTGAATGAGGAGTGATCATAGGGAAAGGAGATCTGCCCAGTCACCTGGGAAACTGCACCGCTTCTCATGACACAGCCAGCTAGCATGGCAGAAGTTACCAGTGTTTTTATCTCTGAGCTTACAAATGCTAACACTGAAGACATGTGATCATTTTTCTCTCCTTCAAATGAGATGAATGTATGTTGGGATCAAGTCTGTAGATGCAGGCAGTGAGGCATAGAGGGACAGAACCTCTTAGTAGTCACCAGATTCCGTAATGACCCTGTCTTCTGTTTACCTCTCCCTATCAAAGTAAAAATGCACAATTGTCATTATATTTTAAAAAAATAATAAAAAGTTTAAGTAATTTGGCCTTTTCCACTTACTCATAACTTGTTTGTTTATATGTTTTTTTTTTTAAAAAGTCATTTGCCCAGGCTGGGCTGTGGTGGCACACGCCTTTATTCCTAGCACTCCAGAGGAGCAGAGGCAGGCGGGTCTCTGTGAGTTTAAGGCCAGCCTGGTCTACAGAGTTCTAGGACAGCCAGGACATTACACAGAGAAACCCTGTCTCAAAAAACAAAACAAACAAAAAATCCTTTGTCCCTCCCATACTCTCTAATCATCAGAAAATAGTAATTTATGTCATTTATCTTTTCCCACACTAATCCCCACGGTGCCCCAAAGGCCTTATATGTTCTTCATCCTTACATGTAAACTTGCCTATAAATCTATCACTGGAAATTTTGCTGCTTCATTCTGTTTTGCTTCCACATTATCTCATTTCTGAAACTGGTCAGTTAAAGCAAGACCCTGGCTTTCTTACAATGGAGAACGCACTGGCTTCACAGTTCCATTATGTGCACTGATAAACAGTTTTTCAGGAGCCTGTGTAATGCATCCTCGGGGACATATTTTACAATTCCAGTAGTAATGAGAGAAAGCACAAACAGTAAGCCAAAATATGGACTAATGAGGATAGAGAAACGGATCTTAGCAGAGCCACCTCTCATAGTCAGCCAACCTAATTTCACATCTCTACATTATGCTAACTTTCCATCAACATGCAAATTACAACCAGGTGACATTAAGTCTGCAGCTAAAGTTCCGTTACTCTACAAATTAAGTGTCGGAGAAAGCCTTTGTGTGGCATGTACTTGTTATGGTGTTGGGGAGGGGCCTCCTTAGGCATCAGTTTGTAAAGTACTATCAAGAATGCCTAATTTCTCTGGTGGACTTGCATATGAAAGAAAGTGTGTGTAATCTGAAAATGCTGATGGGGGCTCAGTGTGGGCGGTATGGCTAACACTGGCTGTTTCCTCAGAAATTGGCATTCAGCAATTCACATGCACTCTCATGCACTGTCGGTACCGTCAGATTATGGGCTACAGACACGCCTATTCTCTCATGCTCTGAGCAGTGCTTTCTTGTCTTCATGTGCAGGCTCTGACTTGTCTGTGTGTGTGTGTGTGTGTGTGTGTGTCAGGTAGCTTCTACAAGCACAAAACCGCCCCTGTTCTGGGAACTCCACCCAAACAGCATAGGTGATTAGCCAAGCAATTACAAAATGTTATTTGTACTCGTGCCAATTGTTCTTTCCCTTGTTCATGAAGCCTGATGTAAGCCTGGCTCTCGTGTGCTCTGTGGTTTCTTTATATTTATGGAAATGGTGCAGTCAGATGTCTTTATATGGAGAAGACGCTCAGCCAGAAGTCTTTACCGTTAGTACCTTTGGTCAGCCCTGATGATGGAGGGGGTTGAGGGACATCTGAAGACATAAAACCACTTACTCTTCCAAACCCCCAGTATTATCATTATTAATAAATTAGATTTTGCATAAGACCAAGCAAGTCAACTTCCATCATGAAGGGAGAGAGAGATGGCTGCTACAGAGAGTTTTCTTTAAGAGTGGATACCACATCCATGCATGTACGGGCAGCACAAATTAGGCTATTTGGAAAAACAAAAGCAACAGAGAAAGGAAAGGGGGGGGTGTGTGGATCAGCCAGGAGTTAGGGAAGTGGTGGTGAATATGATCAAAATATGTTGTACACATAAAACTCTCAGTAAAAGTATTTAAAATAAGGTTAAATTCCTTTCCTTGAGCACTACTAAGATGCACATACTTTAGAAGTAGCTCACAGATCTGCCCCTCCCCCATGCCTTTTAGTAATTGGCTGGTGGCACAGGTGCTATTAAACTTGAAAATGTCAAGACCACTGCTAACACATGCTAGTTGTAGCATCCCATGATGACATCTGCTTGGGAAAGACTTCTGTAGTAGGTGAACAAGTGATTTCAGTGTGAAATGGGAATGTGGGACCAGTCTGTGGTGAGAGGAGATGCAGTGAGTGGTGGGTATATGAGGATCAGGAAACTGCTTGTGAAAACAAAGTCTCTGCTTTATTCAGTCCACTGGGCACACAAATGGCGTAAGGTCTCTTTTGGGTGCTACTAAATAAGTTAGATAATCCATTGTGAATCCCAAGTAGAGAAAAATGAGTCAGAAGTGGGCTGGCGGCTTTCAAGAATTGACCGAATGAGAAGGGTGTGAGCCAGCAGGAATTTGTGTCACGGTCATGTAGGATGGAAGGATGTGGTCTTGCGACCATCGTATTTTGTAGTGGTGATTGCAGCAGGTGAAAGCAAAGGATTTGGAGAAAATACCCCATTTAGATGGGAAGAATTTTCACCGTTTGTTTGATTGTGTAAGCATGACAAGAAGATCCCCAGAGCAAAGGATTAAGATAAGTCATCTGGAACCAGGAACTCCTGAGGAAGTTAGAGTCCTCTGCACCTCATTCGGTTTATAAGGAGCCAAAATGCACCATCCTTAAAGATAATATTAAACACAGATCAGTCACATTCTTTTCTCCAAGCCCGTCTTTCTCACTGTGTTTTACATATTAAATGTATATAGGCACTGCTGGCTGTCTGCCATTGGCCATGATTCCAGTGTTAGAATTTCTTAAAGTGATGTGGTTTGCTGGGGTTTCAGATGCCGTCCATGCAGGGCTGCATAAGAACCTAAACATGTTCAGTCTAGGAGACCTGGAGCCCTAATTAGAAATGGGGGTGGGGCACTTTACTTTCTCCTAAATTAAAAGCCCAATACAAATTAATGTGATCATTACTATCCCTTCTGTCTGTCAACATGAGCATGTTCCTAGGCATTTGACAGTGAGAACTGATCCAAATTTGGGTGAGTCAACAATCAGTGTATCTATCACTCCTAATAATAGTGATTGCTCAGCATGTTTTGTTTTAATTTTTATAAGCACTCGTCAGCTGAGTTAAAACTGAATTTGCTGTAATGGTGGCATAAGATGGTAAAATGACAAGTCCATCCCTTGTTCTCTTGCAGAAAATTAGGTTTTCTAGTACAGTTTCTGAGAATTTCAGAGTCTGAGAAGGTGAAAGGCACTAGGTAAACAAAACTCCTCTCAGGATGGAACAGACACATGAACCTGTTACCCCAGCTTCAGGGGGACTTCCAGGGACACTGCTGTTGTCCTGATAGTACAGGGAGGAAGCTGGCATACCTTACATGTCTGGCAGACGCTAAGGAAAAAGGGTAAGCGGGACAGATTGCTATTGTAGGACCCAAGAGCATACCACACATCGGGACATGGTGGCACACTCATAATCCCAGAACACAGAAGGTGGAGGACCAGGTGGGTCACCTCCAGCTATGTAACAAGTCTAAGGCCAACTTAGGTGTATGTGAGATCTTCTTTCAAAACAGTAAAGTCAGGACCAAAACCCCTTACAATGCAGGAGACAGACACCAGAGGGAGCAAGATACTACAAACTCCTGAAGAAGGAACCTACCTGGCAAACATGTCTAATTGAGAAGTTAAAGCCACAGAGAAGTTGTATTTCCCCAAACCAGGGTTTCTGTGCACCCCTCCCCCCAGTATTTAGTGGGGTTTAACACTGAGCATATCCCACTGTAGAAAACCCACTTGCAAACATTGGGACAAGAGTAAATGTTTGCAAAGAAGTCCTACTCCCTACTTCAAATGACCTGACAGACCTACATGACCCCACCTGGATGGCATTGCCCTGCATGTGGAATTGGGGTGGGGAGATGGGAGGGGAGGGTGGTCAGGGTGCATGTGAGGGGGCAGAGAGGGTAAAAGGGAGGGAGGGAGAGAGAACTGGGATCGACATGTAAAATAATAAATGTTTGTCTTCTTGCTATATAATATGAGCAACATCTCTATGCTTTATTATAATTCAATACATGTATACCAATGTGTGTAATAATCACAGAGCAACGGGTATTTCTGTCTCTTTGACCATTCTTACATATTGATAACTTCATACTCTTCCAGTTATTCTGAAATATGTTTTTGGTTGTGAGACTGGCCTTAAATGACTGAGCTATTTCTCCAGCCTATCTATAGGATATGTAGCCTGTACTGGCCATCTCCTGTGACCATATTGGTGCCTAGCCCAATTGTCATCAGAGAGGTTTCATCCAGCAACTGATTGAAACAAATGCAGACCCACAACCAAACATTTGACAGGGTTCAGAGAATCCAGCAGAAGGGGAGAAAGGATTGTAGGAGTCAGAGGGGTCAAGGACACCACAAGAAAATTCACAGAATCAGCTAACCTGTGCTCATAGAGGCTCACAGAGACTGAACTGACAATCAGGAAGCCTGCATGGGACTGACCTAGTCTCCCTGCATATA